TAAGAAGCCACTCATTTGTTGAAACCTCCGATATCGGACTACTATAGCAAATAGCTGTCATACAAGCTGAACGATTGAAAGTAAGCCCCTGTATGGAAAGGTTTTTTATTTGACGAGATATTCTTACAAAATTCGGCATAGATTATTATACAGAAAAGTATTACAATTTTCGAAAAAATTATGTAGATCGCAACGATACAACATATAGCTGCCATACAAACTGACTGATCAGAATCAAGTTTTTGTATGTAAACTTTTTTTTATTTTTGAATGGTCTTTTAGTTTCGGTAGAACCGAATTTAATATTTTTTCTTGCTTAGTCTCTTCGATAGTCCAAAACTTCACTACTACTAGTAGATGTCAAAATGTCGCCTACACTATAAAAAAGTAGTTGTCCTCATCTCATTTTTGCCGCAGCTTGCGCCACATTATTCCGCAATTAACAAAAAAGTACAAAAATAAAAATTAAATAATATTATAAAAAAATATTGTAGGCAGCATCTGCAAAACAGCAAACAAAACGCCCACATCTGCCGGAAGTTGAAAGTTGTATAAACTCTTTTCATTTAGCTGAGACTGTTGGCTTTTGTTTGGCGCGTGCTCAGAAACCCTTTAGCCCTTACAGCATAGTCAAAAATGTATATGTATATTTTTTAATTCAACCTTTCTTTTTATTTAAAAACACCATTGAATCAGAAAACAAAGTTCAATATTAAATTTAAATGCATGCGTGTGTGTGTGTGAGGCATGAATATTATAATATCGTGTGTTGCAAGCGCAGCGAAACAATGGTCGCTGGTAGAGCACAATTGCATAGAAAGGATATGCGCAACGGCTGGTTGTGTGGTGTAAAAAAGAGGATTTTCATGAAAATAGGCGAACAAAGGCGCTGAACGAGCGGAGTGCGATTAAAAAAGCGGGAATAAAAGACCCATGAAGGTAAAGGTGTATGGCATACAAACGAGCGTGAGTGATGAACAAATGAATAATATACGGGAATCAAAGCAGACTATGAATCAGCATAGGTATATATACATATATATATATAGATGTATGTGTATATGTGAGTCTGCTTTTATTGGTATGATAAAGATTGATGCAATAATTAAAACGGAAAGGTGCAGTTCTTAGTCTCATGTGTGTTTTTGTTTATTTGTGAACTTTGTTTTTGGGATTTCGAAAATATGTGTATAGGTTTGTTTAAATTAGTATGTATATAGAGAGAAAAGTACAAAGGCTTCCGGTCGCAGTCTAATTTGTTCAGACAAACAATGAACGCTTATGCAAGAAAATAGTAGTGCATACAAGTATATTGTATAAAAATATAAGCTACTACATATGTATGTATTGTATATATACTTGTTCTCATCCATATAATCGAAGCGAGCAACTGTTTTAAAATACTGCCTGTAATTCTTTAAATATTACAGCAACAAAAATCATAAAGATTTATGTGAAAGCCTAAGTCTAGTTAGGAGCTCGCATATTGGCAAAAAAAAAGTTAGTTTAAGATTAGCAATGTATCTGAGTTCAACTGTTGAATATTAACTGTTTTCGATTCGACAAGCATTGGGAAATAGCGAATCAGAGAAACTGTACTAGTATAGAAAAGCTTCTTTTTCCTCCAAAATAAACAATTTAGCAACCACTGACTTTCCAGCAGCTTCCATGCCTTACGTTTTCTATAAACAATTATATATTATTTCAAGTTATAAATTTTTATATTTAACAAAAAGTCCACGAATTTTAATTTTTGACTGTAATCTGTCATTTAAGCAATTTCATTGACAACAGTAAAACTGGTCTAAAATATATAAACCAAATTTGGTAGCATTGATGAAAGCTCGAAAGAAAGCTCACTTGATATCCTCACACTCTCTTCAATCGAATTCAACTTACTAACTTTGTTGCTTTTATATGAAAATTTGTTGAAGCGAGCAGAGTGCGTACTGGTACTATAATTGAACAAAGACAAAAATAAACCATTTTAGAAAACCTAACCTAAAATAATTGTTCACATCTAATCGCTATAGCTTATAGCTGTCACACAAACTGACGTACCAAAACGAGTTGTTTCTTGTTTTGTTCTTATTAATAATACTATAAGTTTAAAAATTGCTATAGCCGCTTCTTCTTCCCTTCAATTATCTTCTCTTGTAAAATATGCCTCTAATAAATTTTGACTTGCACTAAACATAACAAAATCATAGCTCTTACTTTGCTCCTAAAATGCATATGCACACTGAAGTAGTCTGGCGCATGCAACAGGTTTTGTGGCGCCACCATTTCTACACGCACATACGCAAGCAAAGTCGAAACCCAAATGTAGTCGTATCGTTGTAATAAATATGCCATCATTATCAGTATCGAATGACAACATTAATTGTTTGTTTACTTCTAAATATCATTATCAAATTAGACACTGTAAAGGCAAAATGTAATCGCACACACACACAGGCAACCAAACGAGCCATTGCATACGAATTTCGAGGCGCGGAGATAAGCTTAGATTGCAGTAGGCACTCTGTGTTGCATAGACACTTCATAATAATAATAAATAGATAAAAGAAATATGAAATATAAGGAAGTAGCCAATATGTATGCGATACACACACATACCTTAATATATGTATGTATTTATAGTTAATTTCTGCTGATAAATATTTTCCATTTATTTATCAGTTAAATTGTCATAAAATCAAAGTAAATATTTATTTTGGTATGCAACCGAAAAACATAAAAAATTATCAAAACTAACGTCAAATAATTGTAATAAACAGTTAAAGCGCCAGCTACTGGCTGTAGCTATAAATGTGTGGGTGTGTGTGTGTGTGTATATATGCATTTAAGTAGCTACTAGGCTTAATTTTTCAATATATGGAGTGTGGGTGCAGTTATATACATATATATATATATACACATATACATATTAAATAAAAACAAATACATATGTACAGAAGCACAGCTTTGTTTGACGCTGATTAGTCCACATAATACACCGTATGTATCATACATATGTACAATATGTATTTTAGGCGCACAATTTTGATAACAATGCAGCAATTGTTCACATACATACATATACACGCACATACAAGTACTTGCTAACATTTTCCTTGCCTGCCTACTTTCATTTTGATTTTCGTTTGATTTCACTTTCATATATTTTTTTACCAAAAATAAAAAAAATTCCAAAAAATATTGTTTGCATTTCTCTATGCAATGTTTTAGCTGTTGTTTTTGTACTTGCCTGTTGCGCCTATTTCAGTGCATTTTTTTCTCAACTTCCAACACTTTGTTTACACACTGACGCCACTGTGGCGGCTACTGGTCGTCAAGATTTATGAGGGCGTGCATTGGGCCGAGCCACTGCCGTTGATAGAGGCCTTTTACAAAAAAAAAAAAAAAAAAAAATTACAAAAAAATAACAAAAATATAAAAAAAAACAACAACTTTGTGTTGCGTGCGTTGCATGCGACTGCATTTAGGCGCTGCCACCGCTTATTTAGGACATGTTCAAGTGGATGCTCCAGCGCTAGAGTTTAATTGAAAATAAGCACATAGATTTGTTTGGCGTTTAGCTTACAACTTACAGCAAGAACAACAACAATAGCTATAATAAATTCAAGTGTTTGACTGACTTTGTGGCTAACTAAACTTTATTGTTTATTTTATTAGCAGAAATATACAACGGTATGCGTGCGAGTGTGTGTGTGTGTATATGTGCATATGGAGTAATTATTGCACGTGTTTAAGTGTGGTTGCCAGAGTTTTAGTGCGCTTATTAAAATGTCAGTTGCGCTTAAAGGTGCTGACAGTTGAATATATCGTATATTTGATTGATCTGTTCTGCTGCTAATCGTTTTTATTACACATGAACGCAAATACACACACACATACGCATAATCGTATGTGAAGTGTTACAGTTTGTGGCATGCAGTTTTTTAAAGCAGTTGTTTAGATAAGCCAGAAGCTGTCAAATAAATGTTTAGTTAAGGTTAGAACCAATTTTTTATCGAAGTGCTCACAAGTGAGCGGTTTTTCACATTCATATATATATGGTAAATACATACATATCTATACCACTGTATAATTATTGTGTTATGTTCTGTGATATACTTCAATTAATTTTACGCGTTGAAGCGCCGTTTTCATCACCATATCGGCTGCTGAGTGCTATTTCTCCAAACATTTCGTAATATTTTAGAAAAGTTTACTTGTAGAATTCTTCTCCAAATATTTCGTAATATTTTAGACAAATTTACATGCAGAATTCTTAGAAAATTTTGGCTACATAAGCACAATGTGTTCATTAATTCTTAGAATTACAAATAAGTGATTACTTCGCAAGAGATACAGTATACATATTATAAACATATACATATGTATATAAAATTATGTAAGTAAAATACACTTGGCATATATCTGCAACGAATTGTTTTTTCTAACACTAGCGAATCTTTGAACTTATTACTGCCTTGGAAAACCTAGCAATAACTTCTTTCAAAATGCTTCAGCCGTTTGGAGACGCCTCAAAATATACACAGAAATATCAACACGCAGTGCTTAATTAAGAGAAAGAGAGAAGACTAGTTATTATTTCTAATAAAATATTGGACTTTAATTAAAAACAAAAATATTTGACAAATTTTAAATTTAAATTTTCCATAAGTAGAATAAAAACAGAGGCACTAGTTATTTATTTAGAAGAAATATTAAACTTTCATTAAAAAAATAAATGATAAATTTCTAAATAATATTTATTTGCTCTGAAAATATTTGTAAGAAAAAATTATTTCTAAATTTTAATTTTGCAGCAAATTCTTCCATTTTGAGGATATTAAAAGAATCTTCATTGAAATTTTTTTTTTAATTGTTATTTTTATTATTATTTACACTAAACAGTCTTAATTATTATTTAACTGAATAAAATGTAAAAAATTATTTTTGAGCAATTTTACTCAATAAAATTTTTTTGTGCAATTTACTATTTATTACAGCATCCCTACCCCTCCGAGGATCAGAAAAAACAGTTGGCGCAAGATACCGGCCTAACGATACTGCAAGTGAATAATTGGTAAGTGAAGCCTTTTCAAATCATAAATATAGTTAAGACCGGTGCTGCCAACTGAGTTAAAGTGTAAAATATTTAATGCATATGGAAAGTATCTTTCTGGGTACTATATATAGTATATTTAAAATAATAATATATCTAAATCAATAGTAATACTATTCGGTGTTATACAATTTGAATGAACTGTGGTCTTTTTTTACAAAAACACTTACGGTTAGCGAGTTATAAAAAGTCGGTGAACGTCAAATGACAGTTATGTACCACCTCCGTTCCCGGGACAGTCAGTTCGGACACGGGTACAGATTTGTATTAAGCTAATAACTAATTGCATATGTATATGTTCGGCAGCAGTTCTCAAAATGATAAAAGGCACGCTTTCTGCCAACAAAATAGTAGTATATTTCGATATTATCCACAAGAAATTCAACCAATCAAAGTAACTTAAAACCATTTGCAAAATGTATTGCATTTATTCCGAAAAAGTTACTCATTTACTTTGTTTCTAATGTAACAGTTCCTGACTGCTTGCTTTGTAGGATATGGAGCAAATAAATTAAGAAAACTAAACGAAACATTTTAAGAAAATTAAAATTTGGCTGGAAATTATTCTACTCACTCGTAGCGCCAAAAATATCTTTAACAAACTTTGTCCATTATAATACTTGTGATCAAGTTACACGGACATATCTACATACCATATATTTCAGTGAAGACCTCAAATCTCGAATATTCACTTTTTAAAAGTATTTCATGCGCTTAGTGCTGTTGCTTAGCCGCTGTCGAAACTTCTATTCGTGCAGAGGAGAGAGCGCCGAAAAGGCGGGTGACTTGTGAAAAAAATGCCACAAAAGTTTCAGCGGCAAGAAACAATCGGAAACAAAAAATTCCACACTTTAACTTACGCTTACAAAAGATATTAGCGCAAGCAGGCGTTGTTTTGTTAGGTAGAAAGCTTGCTACTTTACTAGCCTTCTGCAGTTGAGGCGGTGGTTTAACAGCAGTGCTGGAGCGCCATCTTCTCGAGATTAAGCCGCATCATATTGGGTGCTAATGGCCGTTAGTTGGTCATTTAAATGACTACTTCGCCCCAGCATATATACATGTGCATGCAACTACCCTTCGTAACTACGCTGACATCTACTCGCCCCCCATTAGCTTTTAATATACACCCACTCCTTTGCTTGATTCTACTTTCTCGACACCATTTACAATTTTATGTGTTTTTAGTTAATTCTCCGCCATTTCAAGTCCGCTTAATCGCCACGTCTGCGTGCGCCCGTCGGCCACCACTGTCGATGCTGCGGCTGTTCGCATATTCAAGCGAATAAATATATTTTTTTAGCTAAATAAAAAAATATAAAAAAAGCGAGCGACCTGCCCTCACTTGGTGGTGCAGCGAAGCAACAAAGCGTCAAACCCACTTTTTAGCCTATAAATATGCTTCGCTTGCGCCGCCTGCGAAATTCCCACTGGACTACCAGCAGCTTCCCAGTCAGTTGATTTTGGGTGTTCTTTTTAAATATTCCTACATTTTTATTTTTTCGATTTGCGCTTTTCTAATCTTTTGTTGCTATTGTTGTAAACTTTTGTTTTTTTTTTGACTTGCCTGCGACAAGCAAATCGCCAAGGTGTCAGGCAATAAATTACCGAAAGTGTCTACCTTATGTTTTCTATTTCAGTTGCTATTTATATACAAGTATAAGTGTGTAGACGTGTTGGTCTATGCTTGCTACCAAAGCATGCTGAAGCGTTCTCCACTTACTTGCAACGCAGAGCTATGGCTGCTGTCCTCCCACACTACGCTTGGTTTGTTATAAGGTGTTAGTGGGCAAAGCGCGCACCGCATTTCTTTACGCTTTCTTGCGTATTTTCTGCTAAGTGTGGCGTAAATTTGTTTAAACAGTGGAATGTTACAATTTTCCCAAAAACAAAAACACAAGAAATCCAACAGCAAATGCCTTAAAAGTTTTTGCTTTCTTGTTTTATTCATTATTTTTTTGGTTGACTGCTTTGTTGGTTTTGGTATACATATTTAAATATTCTGGGTTCGTTTCCGATATTTGGTTATATTAGTGTGCTCGAGTAAGCGCAAAATTCAATTTAATTGATGCTGAAAATGGCCCTCATAGTGGGACATCACAGATGATACATGTGGGAGTTAATTTTTTTTAGTTTTTGTTTTTATTTGCTCCAAAGTTTGAATGAAAATATTTTAATTGAATTCGAAAGCGCCACTTGGCGGCGCATATGTATTGCCTTTGAGTGGTATAATGAAAATAAGTTTCGATTTAAAAGGGTATACTATTTATATATTATAATGTCTCTTTCTATGCTCGCTCATTTTGATTTATGCGAGTTGTTTGTTCGTTTCACCACCTTCACAATATTTCAAAAATTCAAGAAAGCTAAAGCAACTTGTAAAAACAAACATGGTTTTCAATTACATACCAATAGTTTCGACGTCCTCCATATTTTACAACAACAACAGCTTTTAAAGCTACTCCTTGCTAACCTTACGAATTCTCGTGTCTGCGCGCAATTCTCATAAAGCTTTCGTGTTGTCAACATTTCATATGATTTTATATGTCTGACAATGTGGCAAATGTTTTTCCTTTTATACACCTATTTATATCTAAATAGTGAACATGCATTTTATTGCATACACATACACCTAACTGCTATGTCTGCTGCTAACAGAGTTCCGCTTGTAGCTGTCTAATAAAAAATTCACAACTCTAGCGATGCATGCATTAAGTTTGTCACCTCACAAGAAACGGTAATGCACCAGGTACGCGCAACGACTGTGCTACATGTGGCATGTAGCAAGTTGCATGTTGCAGTAATATGATGCCTGCTTTGGCATTAGAGCACACGGATATCCACTGACAGCAGCAGCGCAGGCGAAGAAAGCGATCCAGCGTGCAAACGAGTAGGCAAAACACTTTTGCTTGTGAACGTCAAAATGTTGCGACTGTCGCATAATATTCAAATTTGATGATGAAGTTGTTAGTTGGTCCACGCGTTCGTACCAAACGACGCCTTCTTATTTCTAAATGACTGAAAGCGGTTGGACATAGTAATTTGTATGAGTGTGGCACTCACACGGAAATTGTGGCATCCACTATTTGTATGTTGCTGCGCTAAGTCTACAATTGTTGATTGGAAGACAACTTCGTGCATAGTTGTAGTGTTGGAGGTAGTAATGGCTTGGGCAGCGTGGTAAATTGAGTAGGTTATAAGTGTCTAGCGCAATGTGTAGAAAAAATCGTGTATTCAATAAATTTATTACATGCAATATTTATTTTTTTATTACATGCGATAGTTTTTTATGTTGTTTCTTTTTCTAACAAAAATTGCAACACCGCTTGTTTTCAACTTGGTTGACAAGAAAATTTGCTGTTGGTGAAAGCATGTTGTTAGCTGTTAACATTGAATGGAATTTGAATAAATCTGTAATTTCTTTGCCATATGCCATATTGAAAGCTAATTTTATACAAATATGTAGCTCTCGGTATTATTTTGGCACATTATTTGTCTGCGCTTCACTTGCCACATACCCATATGCACACATGCTTCGCTTGTGCCGCCGCCCAAAATTCTCATTTAAATACTCATATTTAAGCAGCTCCACGCTCACAAATCATTTACTCATCCATAGACTCGCTCAATCGCTCAATCGCTCACTCAAATGCCATTCGCCTCATGGGCGTTTACAACAACAACAATGACAAGGAGTCGCCAAAATAGCCAAGAGGCACGTAGACACTGGCAACATCATTGGTCCACAATAATAAGAGCTACATATACACACACAGTCACTCAACTCTTGCCAACGAAGGAATTCATCAAACAAATCACAAACAACTGGGTGAATATTCTTCAAAAGCGGTAGAAAAAAGCACAGTACTATATTGGGGCTATGTTAACAGAAAGTCAGCAAATATGCGCCGCCACTTTTTAGAGGGTGTTTCCAGTGGGTCATTGCTAGGTTGGATGGCGACGCGCTAGTCGCCCAAACATTTTATCGCATCGTATGTGTATGTGTGTGTATGCGCGCATTTGCTTGTCAGCTAAGTTAAGCCGTTTTGCCGTGCATTTTGTTGCTGTTGAAATGCTCGTAAAATGGCGTTTTCGAAGGGTGTTTACGACTTTATGTCGACTATGAAAACGCTTGCCGAGAAATAGATTCTGATTTATAAAGATACGATATACGATTGTATCCTGGAAGAGGAAAGTATACACAGGTTGCATGTTCATATTCGCGTGTATGCTGTTGTTGTTATTGTAAACTTTTTGTTTTTGCTTGAATTGTTGTTTTTGTGCACACATTGCTGTTGTTATACGCCTACAATTAAGGGTGTGCAAACATTCGAAACGCTAATTTAAATGATTTATAGCTGGTTGTAATGGTGCGGAAAGCGATTTTGGAGCGAAATGGGGGCGATGCGATGCAATAAGAAAATTATAAAGGTTGTAGCAGCAATGTGAAGATAATAAGGAAACATGTATTGTAATAAAATTATATTTACAAAATTAAAAGTTGTATATTAATTTAATTTTTTTTTTCAAATTGCAAAATAATTTTATGATTAAAATCAAAAATATTGAAAAAAAAATAAAATAATAATAAAATAATATAAATAAAAAGTTTTAAAGCAATATTGTAAGAAATGGATAAGGTATTTTAAAATACTTATAAAAAAATATAAAAGGATTAAAAATTAAAAATGTTTAAAAGAAAAAAAAATATGTTTGAAAAAATTCGAAAAATTTTATAAAAACTCGGAACTACGACAAAATAAAGTTGATTAATATAAAAACAGCTAACGTTCTTCACTATTTTCATAAATCTTAAAAAGTTGCTTTCACTCTACCACTTTTGTATTTCAAAACCCGTAACAAACAGCGCGTTTTTAATTTTTTGGTAAGACTTTACATTTTTCTAAATATAAAAGAGACATTCGAGAAAGTAAATTTTATAAAGCAAAAAACAAAAACAACAAATATACATTTCTGCTACACAAATGCGAGCAGACAAAGCCGCAGAGCTGACCGCATCAAAATGACTTTAGTGCATTAACCTCGATTTTCTGGCTGCCAAGCAATGTTTAAGCTTCGCAAATAAGCAAAATTGCTTTCTAAAGTCGAGAAATTAAAAAAAAAAAATAATAGTAGGCAATGTCCATAACTTGAATTTGATGATTTTTTAAAGTTGCAATTGTAAATGCGTTTGTTAAACAATTTTTCTTCATTTATTTTGTTTTCTTTCTCCTGCAAGCATAATTTTTGGAACATCAAGTTTTTTTAAAACATAACTTTTTCTACACTCCCATACTTTCATATAAAAAATTGTGCGAAAAAAGCCTGTGGTTGCCAGAATAAGAAATCTGTGACCGACAAATAACAGTTATGCACCAGTCGTTGGAAGCAGTGCGTCACTCAATCAGCTAGCCACAACCCGGCAGTTCATCTACCGATTTTAGGTTGCTTTTGTTGTTGTACTTTTTAGTTTTTTTTTATTCGGCAGATATCAGTGTCCTGTGCAGATATCGGTGGTTTTTTTGCGCACCTACAGCCATTTGGGGTAACCGCAACTAAAACGCATATAAGTTTGTAAAAAAGTCTGCAACATGTGTATGTGTGCGTGTGTGTGCCAAATAGCTCTGTCTCTCCAAGGCTTACACACAGCATTTTTTCCGTTTTGTGCAATATATGCTCGCTGGCAGTTAGTCACTTACTGTTGTTCTGGCAACCTGTCTGCGCGCCGCTGGCCTTTGCTGAGTGTCCCCAGCATATAATCACAATTGGCGGCATTTTCGCTTTTATCATGAGTTCAGGCATAATCTGACGTTTGTTGTTGTTGTTATTCTTTTCTTTTTCCGCACAACAGCAATCACATCAGCACTGGTTACAAATATTTTTCATTGTTGCTACAAGTTTTTTTTTTTTTGTAGTGTTGTTGTTGTTGTTAAATATATAATAATAAGCAATGTCCATTTCGCCATACTTATGGCGTACCTTATTATTTCTTCCAGTATTTATTACCAATAATCATAACCAAAGTCGCTGCTGCTGCTGCTGCCGCTTGCAACCTCTGACTGTTGCACGGTCAAACAGCTTCCACGGCTTGTGTGCTTTCAATTGTGTCGGCTAGGCTGCTGTTACATTAAAAAAACAAAAAACAACAGCCACACCACATCCAGCTTGCTGTTGAGCAAAAAATCAAAAAAAAAAAAAATACCCATAATAACAACAAAAAACTGTAGCGGATTTCGTATATGTCACTTAACTCGCGCACTTAACCCATTCCCAGCCTTTAAGCCCAAAGCCTAAAACCGCGCAGCGTTAACAACTGATCAGTCTTGCAATCATTTTGCCGATTTAGTTGGTGAATTGCGTGGATTGTGCGGATTTCATAAATAATTTATAAAATTATGCGTGGCGACTTTTTGCGCGTAGCTTTTGCTTTTTTAGCGTGTGCAACGCTTGTGTGTTCGTTTGTTGGTGAGCGGTTTTAAAGCTGCCGCACTTTTTAATTTTAATAAATTCTCACAATGCAATATTTCATCGAAGTCGGCTTTATTTGTACTTTGATTGTTGTAGTGTTCTTGTTGTTGACGCTATAGTTATTGCAGTGCAAACGTTTGCCAATTTAGTTGTAAAACACCGCCATAACTTAAAAGTAATTATTTTTTATTATTTGTTACGTCAATGAAGCCAACTGTGGCATAGTAATGGTGGTTAGTGTGGGCAAGCGCGCAATTCAAACAGGAAGAAGGCTGAATTATTATATTTCTTGTGCAGGATTTTTTTTTTGTTAATTTGGAAAAATTTAATTCAGTTGGTTTGTGAATACTGGAGATATGAGCATTATAATCATAAATATCAAAAAAAAAATTAAAAACATGATTACATATATGTAGGTATACATATATAAAATATAAAAACCAAAATTAAGAAAAAAATTTTAAAATTTACTTTAAGAAAATTAATTGAAAAATTAACTATAGTCACTTTAACATTTTTTAAGTGTACATATAAATATTTAAAAAAAAAATTTTATCTTCTCATTTCAGGTTTATTAACGCGAGGCGAAGAATTGTGCAGCCAATGATCGACCAATCGAACCGTGCAGGTAATTAAAATTTTAAAAGAATATACATATGTATATATTATTGAAAACAATTTTATTTAAAAAAATTTAACCACTTAATTAATGTTTTAAAATTAAATTTGAATTCAGTTTTTTAACTTTTTTCTAACTTTTTTTTTTGTAACTTTTTTTTTTAAATTAAAATTTTTATCATTAATTCTTTCCTAATTTTCTTAAATTAATTTTATTTAAAATTTCATTTATTTTTTTACTTTTCTTTAATTAAATTTTTTGTTGTAGTATTTGCTTTTTTAAATAATTACAATATGTGTAAATAATTTTTATAATTTTATATTTCACTTTCTTTACCTCCTTTCAGTCTATACACCACATCCGGGTCCATCGCCGTACGGTCATGACGCCATGGGCTATATGATGGATAGTCAAGCGCATATGATGCATCGTCCACCCGGTGATCCCGGTTTCCATCAAGGTTATCCCCACTATCCACCCGCCGAGTATTATGGCCAGCATTTGTAATTAACCGATGTAGTTGAGAGTCAGGACTATAGTCAAAGTCATGGGCAATCAACTTTGGAGGTGGCAACAGCAACAGAAGTAGCAGCAGCAGCAGCAGCAGCGGCAGCGGCAGCAGCCGCATTGGTGTCCACACCAACACTATCAACATAGCAAAACAACAACAACAAAAATGTAAACTAAAGTAGTTAAAATGCAAAAAAAACAACAAAAGCACCAAAATACTAAAGAAACTAAAAACAAAAAAAAAAATATGAAAATCAGCACACAATTATCTCAAACATGCAAAGAAAAAACACTCGTGCTAGCAAAAATTGCATAATCGTCGATGAAAACTCATTTCTCAACCCCACATCGTAGCGGCAGCTGTACACTACAACAACGCATGCACAACTACTATTGCTGCAAAATGTCTTGTGAATACATTAAATCCCAAAAAAATAAACAGACGATACACTCAACTTACAGAACTTTGACTACTACTTCAAATACGTCAGCAATCAGCAATGTACCAGCTTTATCAACACGCACACATACACACGTCAACAACTTTGCTTTACTAACGCCTATCGCCTCATAGACATACGTAATTGGGCTTTAAGCGCCAGCAAAATTTATATCCTTAAATATTTTAAATGTTTTCATGCAACAAAAAATTCGTAAAATTGAACTAGAAACAGCAGTTTTTGTTTAGGCTTTGAAAAAACCTCTTGCCTGGATATTTTGCCTCAGAAGTGTAAGTATTTTAATTTAAAACTATTTTATTCAAAGAAAAAATAATTATTAATTTTGCGATTTATGTCTGAAACATGATATAATTTCACTAACAGAGAATTTAACATTTACTTAATATTTAATGTTATCACAGTCAGCTGATAATGTAAGGCATATTAATGCAAAATTTTTTGAAGTTTTCCGCTAAAAAATATTTAAGTGCGAAATACTTATAATTTTTACTTTTTATTTTTGTAATTTTAGACAATAATTATTTGTTCAGTAAAAATAATTGATAATAATTAAGTTTTCAATTTGATCTTATCTTTACAGGACTTGGATTTTTTAAGTGATTTCTGTGTCTAAGACTAAATGTGCAGAAAACCGTAACCAAAACTGTACACTGGAGTGCTAAAACAGCAAAAATATTAAAACTCACAAACTTGCAGACCACGAAAAAAAAAGTTTGAGTACTTAGAACAAATTGTAAATGTAAATAAGACTTATGAAAAATTTGAAGCTGCAAGAACTATATAATTTTCATAAACTTTAAAAAAATATTGAAAAATATAATTGGGTTTAAGAAACGCCGTAATAATTTGCTGTAGAATATTGAAAAACCATAAACTATATACACTTTCAAATAATATTTAAAACTTTTCCACACCAAAAAGCGCGTTCGATTTTTTTTTTTGAGCTTTTTAAGAGCTTTCTCACAAGTTTCCACAACAAAATATACTGCACATATATTTCTAACTTTCTACTAGCACACAGCAATGCTTTGTTATATAAACGCTGGACAATTCTTGCGCTTACTGCTTCAACAGCTTCCTACTTTTACCGTTACATACACCATATACTCCACACACACATGCAGTCAAAGTTCAAATTTGAGCGTATTACGCAGAAAGTTGTTGATCTCCTTAATAAATGCGACTTAAAAGCAAGTACACGGTGTAAAAGCATACAGATAAATATACATACATATAAAATAAAATATATGGTAACTGAGCAAACAAAACGGACTTAAATATACGCAAAATAAAATAAAACAATGAAAATATTTAAACAAATTGTGGCAATATCAGTAAATTTAAATAGTAAAAATATACATACATAATAAATGACTAAAAGATAAAAACAAAAAATAAAACAATATAAATACAAATAACTACAAGCATATGTATAAATAGCTACTAATTCTAAAGTACATAGTAACATACATCCATACACACTATTGAAACGATGATATTATTTTAAAAGCTTGAAATGCAGCAAACAAATGCAAAGCGCGGAAAAGGCAAAGAATATATGCAAAAAAAAAACAAAAAAGCAAAAATATAAATATAGCTTAAATTAGCAGCAAATTTCAGAGCACACAAATTTGCAAAAACAAAAATGAGAAAATAAACTTTGTAAAAATTCATAAGCAAATGCGTAAATTATTATGTAATTAGAAATAAACCAACTTTATATGTTTGAAAGAAAAAAGGCAGAGCAACATGTAAAGCAAAACATTTGCATCGAATGTGAAAATGCAAACGAAAACAAAAACAACACTTAACTGCGCACGCGTTGTAAGTTAAACACGCCCACTTTGCAGCTACAAGAAAAAGAGAGCTACACACACTCACATGCACACCAGAGTCGAATTTTGCAAACATTGTTTTTGTTTTTGTTTCTGTCAGTGTAAACGCAAGCGTTTCAGTCTGTGTAATTGCGAACAAGCCGAAAACAAACACGAAATTCAAATATTACAGCAACAAAGCATAAGCAAACTACTTAAGGCACGTTAAGTAAAAGGAAATTAAATTAATATAAATGAATGTATTTGTAAAAAAAAACAACAACTGTATTTGTATGTAGAATAAAAAATTGTGTGAAAAGTTTAATATATATGTATAGATATGTAGGCACTACTGACCTATAAAATGAGTATAAATTTAAATGGATTTTTTTTTCAAATATAATTAAGTTGCAAAAAGTGAGTCAGAAGCGTGAAAAACAGAACAAAATTAAAAGATAAATGCTAAAGGAAGTGAGCACAGTAAGATATTAAAAAAACTAAACAAAAAATGCCTTGCACAGATACACACATACAAGCACGAGCTGCTAAGTTAAAGTAAAATTTAAAACAATAAAAAAAAAATTGGCAACTATGTAAAAAATAATAATTTGCGAAGTTCTTAATTTTTATTTAAAAGTTTGTTTAATAGTATATAAAAATTTTTTTTATTAAAATTTTACAAAATTTTTTTTAACAAAAATTGAGTTAAAAATTTTTTATTACCAAAATTTGACTTAAACCAAATTTTTTTTATACAATAATTGAGTTAAACACTTTTTTTTACCAAAATTTAATCAAAACAATTTTTTTTTTCCAAAAACTGAGTTAACAAAAATTTAATTTTACACAAAAAAATTTTGAATTCACAAAAAATTGTTCAAATTTTGTATTTTAACCAAAAAATAGACATTTTAGTGTAGCTTCTTAATTGTTGATGTTTGCTTTACAATCTCACAATGCAAAAAGGCGAAGCATTCTTAAGCGCAAGCGTTAAATTAAATGAGAGAAAAATGTTATGTACTATAAAGTAATATGTATTTAAAGGAACAAAAGAAATTTTAGTTTTATTTTAAATTTAGTTAGTATTAAAGCTTAATTTTAGTTGTAGTTGAATTCGCTTATGATGGTCTATAACAAAAACAAAAAAGCAACAAAAACAACCCTTGAATTTCAAGTATGTGAGAAAAACAAAATAACTGATATTTGTTTAATCATTTGAGAGAGAAAGAAAGAAAGAAAGAGAGAAAGAGTATCCACAATCTTGCTTTATAATGTTTAATATAACAGTTATGTATGTAAATTAAATTACATTTAAATTTTTAGTTTAAGCACAATAAGTTTGTTTGCGTAACCTACTAAGCCACTACTTTATTATAATCCTTGTCCTTGCCTCCCGACGCCTTCCACTTATAACCCTAGCAGCCCCAAACATTGGCAGCTCAAGTTTCAAGCGCAGCTAAGAAAATATGCGTTTTTCTAATGTAAAATATATTTCTAAAAAAATTTAAATTTTATTATGTTTGGTAAAAATAAATATTTTTCATTATGTTTTTTTGAAAACACGCAAAAAAAAAACAATAACGAATTTTGCACTTGTAAAAAATTATTTATATACATACACACACACATAGAAATATATGTATAAACGTACATGAATATGTATTTCAGTAATAATTTAGCAGTTATTTCAATTGCTTTAATTTAATTACTGTTATTACTTTGATTGTAATGATAACTGTCACTTCTCTTTGTATGTAGCATTGTTTGTTTTACTTTATAGCAAGAAAAATATAATAATTTTAAAAAAGAAAGTTAAGTGAATACATGCAAAAAACCTATATACATAAATATATAATTTTAATTAATTTACTTATAATTATTTTACTATTAATTATTATTATTATTATTATATTAATAAAACAATTATTATAATAAAGAAATGAAGGATTTTAAAGAAAATTGAATGAAACACAAACACTTTTGGTTTTTTATTTATTTTACACGCTGGATTATTTCATTTTAATGGATTTTGTTGTGCTAACTGACTTTTTTTATATATCAAAATTTTTATAGTTATTTTTCTTAACATTTTCGTTGAATTTGCGCTGTGATTCTAAACCTTTGACAGCCTCTGTAGGGCAATTTTTAAGATATTGGTGTGTTTGACAGACTCTGTAGTGGTGTTCATTGGATATCTTTGGAAGTTTTGAAAAGTTTACATAATTAAATTTATATTTCAACAAATAATATACCTTTTACATAAGTACCATAAAAATTACAGCCGAATGCGATGGTAAAAAGTGAAAATGTTGCGTAGGGAGAGCGAAAGGATCCTATAGCTTCTCAACGCCATCAGTTTATTGTAGTAAACGTGAAGACTTCAAAAAAGTTTTGTAAATTTACATATTTTTTCTATAAGTTATCCATTTTTGTATACAATTGGTGTTGTTAGCCATCTTTGACAAACTGTAAAATTCCCTAGGAAAATGATTGCGACATTTGTAATAAGATCTTTCAGAAAAATCAAGCTTTTAATCATTAAAAACAACTTTGCCAGCGATTAAAAATAAATTCCAAAAAATTTAAATTACAACTTTATCTGTAAATGTGGCAACGCTGTTACCATATTACTACCAGCAAAATATATATGTTCTGCGAAGAAATATATTTTCCTAACTCAGAAAGAAATTTAGTTAATTTTTCTGAATCTGAATATATTAAAAAATGTAGTTGCCAATTCTGAGCACTTTGAGTGTAAATATAGCAACGCTCTCACCATATTATAATAGATAAAGTATAAATGTTCTCTCAAGCAATATTTACGTCGACTTCTATGCATTTGCAAACATTTTGATAACAGCAATAGACTCATAAACCATTACTTTTTAAGACTGCGTTCAGACGAGCACTCTTTTTGTCACCCATTATCGGCAAATTCTCTTTTGATATCTCTTTTGATGACCACCCGAGCGACACGAGTGCGTCTACTTGAGTCGGATAATTTTTCGCATTTTCTGTTACATGGTTCATGTACGCGGTGTATAAAAATATTTTTGATTAACTAATTTTTTTTCCTTATTCACACTTTTCTAAAACATTTGTACTATATTATGAAACCGGGCGCTTTTGCAAACAATGAAAAGAATTTAAAAATGGAAAGAAATGCCCAATTGCGTAGCAGCGAACTGTTACTGTGGTGCCTTCGTCTTTCTTCGTCGTCACCTCACCTTTGAAAACCGATTTGGGCAAAAAACAGCGCCCTCGTGTGAACATAGTTAATGAAAAAATTCGACACCTAAAATATTGTTAGATAGCACTTTTCTGAGGCAGTTGAAAAAAAAAAATGTTTGGCGCCGAACAACATTTTTGTTGTACCCAATTATAATATTTCCCTTGAAGCTTTCTCTCATATTAAGCAACTTTTGCTAGATGCTACAGATATTCTATACAAATTTTAAAGCTATTAAAAAGTAAGAAATTTTTTAATTTCAAGTATTGGCTGGAAAAATCATATTCCGAGAAGAGAATACGCAACGATCATGAGTACTTCACAGTCTGATAATTTTACTTATTTTAGTACCTTTTTTTAGTTTTTCAAATAATAAACTGTAATTAATAAATTAAAAGATTCACGTATTATCTATTTTCTATCACTCCTCTCTCTTTCTTCCCGTATCAACTATAATAAATATCAATTATCAAATCATTCAGTCTTTGACTACACTGAGCTGTTTATATTTCTAATTTACACTCGAACTCATTTTATTAATATATAAAATTAATTTGTTGTTGTACACTGTTCACTTCCTGATATGATCAACTAGTATGTATAGTACTAACACTATAGTACACTTTAGCCGTTATATTTATTGAACTTTTCCTTTCTACTTTAGTACTAGCGCTAGAAATTTATTGAAAGCTTTTCAAGCTACTCGAACTGAACTTTATGTAAATTTAAAGATGAAAGTGCGTCAAAACACTGCTATTGATATTGAAACTGAATGAAAACGATATACGTAAATTGAATGAAATTATAGCTATTTAAAATATAATTAAATAAATTAGTAATTACACAGATGTTTTTTCTAAGCTTAAATCGTGTGTACCTTTTTATATATACATACATTGCATACATTGAAATCGTACTTAGATGAAGAAAAAGAAGAAGAAAAAAAACAATGTTAATAAAATTTTAAGGGCAAGCAAAGTTTATTTAATTATGCTAAACTGATATTTCGCACTTACAAGTATTTTATTATACTAAAAAAATATATATATATATATACGAGTATGCAATATATGCAGAGAAAATAGGCACAGAGCTTTCACATACCCACACATATGGTACATACATATGTATGTATATACATGTTACTTATATACATACGTATTGCTAATACTACATTGTATATTGTAAAATAATTATTTATTTTTAATATATGTGTAATTTTTGTCTTTGTTTCAGTATTTTCAACAAGTTAGAAAAAAAAGCTTTGGATATATTTTTGCTACACACACACATATACTCCAGAGCGAATTAAACGTGAAAATCTCGAATTTCAAACTTCACCCATAAGTGTGATTATTTTGTTGAATATACAATCTCAAACATTTTTGGCTAATGAATTATTATTAAATATTATAATATATTAAACAAAAAGGCATACAATCAAGCAAATGTATACGACTTTCTATGGAAACAAAAACTATTTGAAAATATTATACGATTATTCAATTTATTTATAATTAAAGTAAGTACCAAGTATGTAAATTGCACGAACAAATACGAGTTAGAATGTAATATTAATGTACTTTTAATATTTCCAATTCTACACCACTCCCATACGATTTACCCAATATATATTTAGTGTAATAATGTGGCAGCAACAGCTGCTGCATGCAAAGCAGCAGCAACTAAGTTGTAGGTGTAATTAAGTCATGCATACATACATACATATTAAAAAATGTTAGCAAAACATAATTAAGTGAATAAAATAAAATAAATGAAATTGAAATAACAGAAAATCGCCTTAAAATTATGTATACGAAATGATGAAGGTAATGATTTATAAATACGAAAATTATTGAAAACAAAATATACAGTTTTTTAAAACTAAGCAGTATACGAAAGCATAGCGGTTGAATAGACATTTCGAAAAACAAGTGAATTGTAAAATTTCTTAATTTTTTTGGATTTGTTAAAATTTAAGCAATTTTAAAGTTATAGTTTACTCTTTCTGAATTTTCATAATGCTGCGTTTACATTTAGTATTTATTATCTTATTAGTAATAATATTGCGAAAACTATGAAATATTTCATATGAAGAATGAAGTGTATAAAATATAGCATATAAAGTAAAGAACGATTGCAAATTGCTAAGGCCTTATTTTTCAGTGTTGCTGTGCTAAATGTGAACATTGCGTATTTATGTGAAGAAAAATTCTGCGTGGTTAATTTAATACATTTTTTCGAAGTTATATAATATGAGGCCTGCGTTTCGCCATTCTTTCCTAAAAAAGTGTAGATTTCTTTCTAATTCCTTATAACTTCAGAAGTTCTTATTAATTTTTCTTCAAATTATAGCCATTTGCTACAACAAATAAAATATGAGATATCATTTGGAAAGAAAATTCTATAAAATGCATTAAAAAAATTGAGCTTGACATTATGTTAAACGAACTGTTAAATTTTCTACCACTTTTAACATATGTAAGCGCTTCTGTTAAACTGTTAACTGACAGAAAGCGTGAAAAACGACAAATTTTCTTATTGTTTCACAAGAAAGCATGAAATTTACATTATATTGCATTTATAATAAAAAGTTGTAATAATTTCAAAATAAAAACATAATTTTAAAAATAATTTCCAATTCAGAATTATATGAAAAATTAAAAAAAAAGGTCGAAGAAGATTTAAAAGCTTTGTATTAAATGTATGCTATATTTTTATATCTTTTTATTTTAAAAATTACGTAGATTGAATATTTTGCAATAAAAAAAGATTTGAAATAGAAAATGAAAAGGAAATAGAACACACAGAAAGTTAAGTTATTGTAAAACAAAAGCAAAAAATATACAGCTAAGTTCTTAGAAAAACTAAATAGTTTAAAAAACTATTTAAAAAATATAAAATAATTAACATACATAAACAAAGTTGAGCGGTTGATACAAAATTTGACTGAATGCTGGCAAAGCAATATCTGCTGTAGCAAAATATGAGTGTGCTTTGGAAAAAAAAAATGCTAAAAAACATAACTTAAATAAATTATGAAAATTAGAAGGAATAATATGAAAGCTCCCAGTTAAACTTGCAGAAAAAATATGAAAGCTTTCGCAAAACTCATCCATAAAACTGCAGTTAGGTACCATTCAAGTTAAGTGTATATAGAGAAAGGAATAGAAAATAAAGTTATTCTGCTTAGAAGTGTCACAAGATGAAAGTTGCAAATATTGAAATGAAAAATAAAACGTGTAAAATAAATAATATATATGATACAAAGCATAGCGGAGAAAATTTGCTTTATTAGCGAGAAACAACAAAGCAACAAAAAAGAGAAATGTTTATAGCTATTACTTAATAAAAAATATAGTAGTGAAAGCTCTTCAAAGAGCTTTCGACTAATTAATCTATTATATGTGTATTGTAAATTTGAGAAATTATTTTATAAATATACTTATTATTATATGTTTAAATGTAAGTAAAACAACATATAAATATAAATAAAATTATTGACTAGCAAACAGTGTAAAAGCAGAGAAACCAATGCTTCAGTGTAAAGAAAAACTGCAAAAAAAAAAACACAAATGCAATGAAAAATGTATAACTC